GAATCCTTCTTCATCGGCGGCGTACCCCGTCCCTCCCAAAACACCGACGCCAACAAGCCCGGTCGCGATAGCTCAGTCCCCATGATACGGATTAAGATGGAGCATCTTGCTCGGCAATTGTACTTACATCCCTACCTTAGTGTATATGACTCGTGGATGTTCGGGGCTGACGGGAAATAGTACTTCACTCGAGCACAAACACCGCTTTATGGATGCTGTGGATAAGGCGCTGAAGCCGTTTATTGCGGATAAAGGGTATGATTGGGAGTATAGTTGTGAGGATGTGGATAGGGATTTGTGGAAGGTGAATGGGATGGTGCCGCCGATGCCGGGGACGGAGGCGGAGAAGGAGTGGCAGGAGAGGAATGTTGCGGTGCCGTTTGAGGCTGAGAAGGGGGGGTTGGCGGGGAAGTTGTGAAAAGTTGGGGGATAGGTGAAGATCAATGGATGTTAGGTTCACAGATGAACGTGGAAGGAGAGGTGTGTTTTCTTGGGTATCATTCACAGGTCTTCCAGGGGTATCATTCGTCCTTTAACGACGCCAAACGCCTTCCCTGCCAGCTCAATCGTGTATCGCGCTCTCCAAAAGTCTTTCATCTGCCCTTCCATAACATCGTACGTCTCTCGTCTCCGCACCAACTCAGCCCGCGCAGACGCCTGACTTCAAGAGCGGCCACCTCACCACTAGCCAATATTAATCCAACTTGTCGAAAAGCTTGTAGCGCAAGCCTTCTCGCACACGCTCCCGCTTCTCATCCTCCACGGTCTTGACCCTGTCTGTACTGCCCTTTTCACCGCTGTCTTTGACCCCGCCCTCAGCCCCAGAGCCCGCCCTCCAGACCGCCAGGTCGTCATCCGCAGCCTTGTACACGGATGATACATCGGATTGGTCGTGGTGCTTGGGATCGGGCTTGTCAGGTACTGCGTGTCCAAAGAACTCGAATACGTCGCGCCGAAAGGCGGGATCTTGGTGAAGGACGTAACCGCCGAACCAGTCGGATTTGAGAGGCTGTGTCGCGGTAGCCTGCGTCTGACCCTGGAAGGCGACGTTGGCCGCCGAGCGTTTTTTGGACGCGACGGGGGTGGGTGTCGGGGGGATGTAGCTGCTGGGACTGGGTGAGGGCATGGGTGTCCAGCTGGGTGTGAAGTTGTTCTGCATGTTGACTGAGGGCTGCATTGGTTGCTGCGAGCGTTGAGTGTGAGGAGGTGGAGCGGACATGTCGTTGGTCGCGTTGGTGGCCTTGGTGACAACTGGTTGTGGTGGGCGTCGGGTGTCAGGAGGTGGAGCGGACATGTCGTTGGTCGCGTTGGTGGCCTTGGTGACAGAAGAAGCTGAGAGTGTTTAGTTTTGACGTGAAGGTGCTAGATAGGGAAAGACATCTCACCTTCACTACCCACCTTGATGCCTAACAGAAACAGCACTCCCTGATGCGCGAATTGCGAAGCGGTGTTTCGCACGAGCGGCTCGATTTGGTCGACCCAGGCGGAAACATTCTCGCCGTTTGCCTTCGCATCTGCAGCCCCCTCTATGAGTTCCTTGTAGCATCCCCAGTCGGGGCCGAGGTCAGCTCGTAGAGCGACAAGGAGAACGTCTAGATTCCCTAGCTTAGCCGTCGTGGTCGTCTTTCGCTGTTGGCGGTGTGTCATCGTGGCCATTCTAGAGTAGAGTAGCTATGGAAGTGAAGCGGATGGCGGAGGACCTGGGAGTGAGAGGTCGGGGAGTATATACGGCGCTAAACGTGCCCAGCATCGACAATGATTTCTGCTTCCTATTGTGATATCATCCGCCGCATCGTAATAGTGAAATGAAGAAGTGCGATACCGAATTCGAGCATCTGAGGTGGTCTTGGATATGGTGACCGCTGTATAATGGCGGCGCAGACACCTCTGAGTGATGCCAGGCTGCCGTTTCGCCCAGCATGGGATTGCCAATGAAGTCTCTCGCGCATTGCCTGCATACCATCTCTTCGCAAATAGATAACGATCTGGGTCAGTCCAAGGTGCACTCTCAGCAGCATCACCCAAGCCGCCTCCGCAACCCAACTCATCTTCGTCTCGTTACCCGTCGTTGCGGCGTAAGCGCCCTCGTTCATCGTCGCACACCGACAGTCCAGAACATCGGCACACGCTGATATCACGAATGCAGACGCATCACATAGCTTTCAGGATACATCCTCTTTACAATATTGATTCCGGCGCTCACATCCTTACGCGTATTCATCACCAGGTCCATTTTGAAAGCACCAGCATGCGCATCATCTTGAAGCATGGGTGCTCTTCAGATGACTGGTTACACGCGCGTCGGGTGTGAGGACCGCAGCTTTCCGGCTCTTTTATGCGACGTGTCAATTACGTCGGTTGAAGAAGTCGCGAGGATATGTTTTTTTTTTGAGGGCCTGGGAGTCGACGAAGGGTGAGACGCCATAGTGTACAGATCTCTCGTCGTGGATGTCGGGAAATGGACGTTTGCCTGTGGGTGGTTGAAGTTCCGTCGGCGTCGGCGGTCGGAGTAATCTCGGCCGACGCGGTGGTCATGGCGTCTTGGTGCGGCTTGACCTTGCGCGACAGCGGCAACGATATCTCAACCTTCCACCTGTGCGAAAAAGACGTCGACTTGCCGTCGCGATGACTTTCGAGCTCAGTCACATTTGTGCATCTCGCCAAATGTGACTTTCATCTCCATCCTGCAACACACGGATGCAGCCACGCGCACCGCGATGATCGTCATTGACGCATACGTCGCTTGTATCAAGACAACGCTCACAGTAGATGCCTGGCTTCACGTGCAGAAGCCATCTTCCCAACTGGAAAAGCAACTGAATGGTTTCCAGTTCTTGTCAGCTATACCCAACCTTGCCGTACTCAGCCTGTACTGGACAGCCTTCCATGGAGATGCGAATGATACTCAGCAACACGGCATCTGTTAATTCACAAGATCAACGAAAGATAGATGCGCCGCGTGACCAAGACGCTTTGTCAAGCCACTGTTAGATCAGTTGGTCTCCAGCTTGTCGTGGAATATTTGGTACAGTACGCGTCATCATGTCTTTTCGAACCGTGCGACAACCACACATATTCACATCCCGAAATTCATGGTTACGTGGTTGAAGGCCACGCGCTACGCGAGTGAATCTCATCACACAAAATCTCGTTTGCTGAACAGCTAACCACTCCTTTGACTCCCCGGATAAACCTCCACTTTGTCGATCTTTATCGCACACATCGCACGACGATAACCATGCCGCTGTTCGGATACGGAAACACCCCAAAACCGAGCGCTCAAGAAACCCAACAACCACAAGACATGAACGCCCAACGACTGAGACGCGAGAATCGTCGGAGAAGCAGTGAGCTTCGGCAATCCGATGAGCAAAGCGCTCCGGCACCCACCAAGGCAGAGGCTTCAACAGCCAAGCGAAGCGATACCCCGACCCTCAGGCAAGAAGACCCTCCGGCATCGCACAACCTAACGCGAGAAGACATCCAGAAGTGGAGGTGAGTGCTAACATGTCATTTCTAAACGCTTTTTAATCTGACTCAACGCAGGAACGCTACGTACGAGATCAAGGCCACCTTCCCCTACGTCGACCTATGGCCATGCATGTACTGCCTCAGTAACATCGACTTCCGCTACCGAGAACGATGTTCGCGCTTCCACTGCGAGAACCCCGAGTGTGTTGGCCGAGGAAAGCTGCAGGTCACTTGTTTCTGGGACATCAAAGCGGGGATTAAGAGGAACGAGGATTAGCCGCGGCATGTTCTGGCTCGTTGTGGGGAGATTGGCCGTCCGGGGTGATGCGTTCAGGTCGGCTCGGGTGCGCCCATGGAAGCGCGTCGATAACTTCTAGCCCATCGATCCAGGCGCCGTGTGGCCAAAGCGAATCCTCCCAAGGCTCTGATGTGTCGAGCAATATGACGCTCATCTCGCTGTCTTCTTCGTCTACTTCGGATTGTTCGTAGTCTACGCCTCGTGGAGACGCCGACGATGTCGCAGGGCTCTGGCCCAGGGTTGGCCGAACAAGCTTCGTATTCGCCATGGTCGGAAGAGGAGCTGCTTTCGGGGACTCTTCCCGCACTGTCGCCTCTGCAGAAACCTCGGACACAGCTTCTGGTGTTACCTTTTTGTCCGACTTAGCCACACCCTGCTCCCTTGTTCGCGATTGCGCCTCCGGTTCGTCCTCATCATCTTCAGCCGCCGTCCCATCGCCCGTGATTGGCATCTTGACCAACACACCTTTCCTCTGCTTATCGATCTCCGCATTCATCAAATTCGCTAGTCGGTTATGGTCCTTCGAAATACGCGGAAAGCTCTCGTTCACGAATGTTTGCATCGCCTCGGCGGAGTCTCGAGCTCGATCTCGACATGCCATGATGTCGCCAAAATACTCGCGGTAGACTGGACGCACGGCGGAAGGAAGTTTCTTCGTAGTACTGACAAAGACGGCTTGGACATGGTAGGGTATCAAAAAGGTGAATCCTCTGGACGCGGATGAACTGTAGTAGGTGTAGTCTGTCATGGTTGAGCTTTGTCTTCGGCTTGATCGAGTGTTCAGCTTAGCAGCAAGTGTTATTGTGACGCAATACGCTAGAATTTTAGAAGCTCGAGCACACTCATACAAGGAACGGTCAGTGTAACTCCAGGCAAAATCCATCACAAGGGGCAACATTGCAGTGAATTATTCGGAAGTATTTCATTACCACACTCAATCCAAAGTTCGGTTCTTCCATCCCATCCATGGTACTGCGATGACGCAGAGCGAGACGAGCCACTCATGACTCCCGAAATACGTAACCACCACATACGCAAAAGGTACTCCTTATCAAATAAGAGAAATCGCAATCCTTAGAGTCTTACTACAGTCAAGCGCCTACAAGCCATCTAAACTTTCCAGAGTACCCATCAACGTACCAGCTGACAGATACAAAACACGCAACGATCCACTTCCGACGTCTCGTAAACTCCTTTAACGCCTTCACAGCACCGAACCAGATCTGGAGCCCTACTTCTTTCGGGGATCAGCAACCTTGGCCTTGATATAGCTAGCCCCAATCATCGTGTCGTTCAGCATATCAAGTGCGCGGCCGACTGCCCCTGTCGGAATACCCACAAAAGCATAGCCCTGCATGATGACGACTTTGTATACGGTGAAGGCCTCGAATATGGTACGGATCTGGTAGTTTGTGACGTCGTACGGGAGGTTCTCCAGCTTCAAGTCTGTGATATCCGTAGACGGTAGGAAAGCTGGCGCAGGAGTGGGTGTGGCGATGGTGGAACCAAACTCAGCCTTCTTCTTCCGCTTGTCCTTATCCGATAAGTCGACCTTGATAGTGCGACCTTGCCACTTGACGCCATCTTTGAACCGTGTGAGAATCGAGTTCGCGTGCGCTTGCTGGACGGTGACGAAGCAGAATGTCTTGCCTGGTAGTACATTGACGTCGGTGACGGGGAAGTCCTTGAAAATCTCTCGCACCTCTTTCGACGAAGTACCGACCTTCACGCCACGGACGAAGAGCGATACGTCCCCGGCGCTGGGCTCATTGACAAGCAGTTTCTCCATTTCTTCATCAGGGACGCACCGAGCGTTAAGTGTGGCGTTCTTCCAATAGGTACCCGCGTACTGTTGTACAATGGCGACTGCCATCCAAGGCTGCGCGAGCTGCAAAAGGCCGACTCCTGGGTCGGGTGTTTTGACTTGAAGGATGTTGATGGGCTCGTAGTAACCATAGTCGGTTGGGTTCAGATGTTGGTTCTGCTTGGTGGCCTCAAGGTACTGGTCTCGCACCGACTCTAGCAACTTGTTCATGTCACTCAGAGTGTGTTTTGCGGGAAGACCGGTAATCTCAACGGTGCGCGAGTCTATTTGGTGACCCCGGGCAAGGACGAAGTCGGAATAGCGATTGGTGGCGTGTTCGGGAATGGCTTCGGTCCAGAATGAGGTCGCGATCTTCTTGCCGGTTGCCCCGAAGTGGTAGCCTTTGTGGTCGTTTTCGAATATCGCGGCGAGCTCGGGGGCCTTGAAGACTATCCAGGCGGACTCGCCTCCTCCCGCTCGTGTGTACACTTCTTCGATTTCGTCTTCTTGCAAACGTAGCTCGGTGAAGGCGTAGGAGGACTCGCAGTTGGAAGGAAGGTCGCTGACTAGTACTGTAGACGACATGGCTGATTGTGTGTTTCGAAGATGTGGTTGGGTAAATTGAAGTTACTAATCACCTAGGTATAGACAAGTGTTGCCGGGGAGAAGTCTGTGATCCAAGTAGAGACGCGAAAAGGGCAGATATATAGGTAGCTTGTGTACAATGAAAAGTAGTAGAAGCCTGGAGTCAGAGTGGTGCCTTAAGTATTCATTCGGTCGAGTCGTGCAATGTTTGTCAAACCATCCACGCAGTCACATGAGAAATCGCGCAAACAAGATATCTGTATACCCTGGAAGTATCTTTCATTTCAGTGGATTACAACGAGTGTGATAGGCATGAGCCACAATTTCCAAAGCAGAATCAACGGTAGAAGAGACAGTCCTCAGCACCAGCCCTCACAAGTTCCACGCGCACTTACCCTGCCCGGTTGAACCAGAACAGCCCCCTGGTCCACCAACACACCCGGTGTCGAAAAGACAGCGCGCACAATGATACTTTTCGTTGCATATCTTTTTGGATGCGCAGCTTCTTCCAGAATCGCATTTAGGCGCCCTTGGGTGCAAAGTTAAAGCCCCTGGCACATTTGCCTCGGTTGTTTCGACGCCTGGGTCGCGTGCGACGATACCGTCCGGAACGGCCCACAGCTGAGCTTCGGACGTGACAGTGCGTCCGTCACTGAGCATCATATTAGTTGTGTTCACTATAGTCTTCGGGAGAGAATCGCGAAGGGGAAAGCTTACACGCCCGGCGTGGCGGATCTCTTCGAACCTATCTTGACAAGGAGCTCGGCGATTTGAGGCTCACTGAGCTGCACATAGTCCACCACAGTGTTATGTGCTGCGTTAAAGCTGCGAAGCACCCCATCGGCTCCAATGTCCATCAACTCGCCCTCGTTGAAGTTCGTGAGTACTTCTTCAAGTGACTAGAGGCGCAGTGTAAGTATGTGGCTATTCGAATGTGGTCTTTGGGGTGCCTACCGCATCGTTCGTGGTCGCTGCCGCTGCTAGCAGAAAGGTTGCACTCGCGGATACAAAGATCGAGAACCTCATATTGAATTCACTGTATGATGAACAGGTCTTGTAAGTAGTAACGTGTTAAGCCGTAGTGTGCTGAGAGAATGTTCATGTTGCCGGCGAGAGGTATATGCTTTATAGACCACTGTTGGACCTCTTCTCAATTCCTCCAAGGCCTCGATGTACATGTCTAGGTACCTTCACATGACTGTGAGGCTGGGATATTACGATGCTGCGTCATGCAGGATGCTGTTGGTCAGCACTGCCTAAGCGTGCCGTCTATAAGTACGCCCCGCATCTCAACCTTCGCGCACTGCGTTGTCTTCTCGCGGCTACGACGTTTCCTGAGCCAACACTGTATTGAACCCTCTACCCGAGGCTGCAGTTAATAAAAACCTGAAGTCAGTGCTACTCGCCTGAATCCTATTCTTCACTGAGAACGAATCAACGATGGCCTCGTCGCCTTCGCCAAAGCCGCAGGGCCAGGAAGGATTCCATCCCAACAACGAGGAAGTTTCAACCACAGACCCGAGTCATCACGAAGGCGAGAAGGACGAGAATAGCCAGCCGACGAAAAGTAGGGTCAAGACGGACCCGCTGGAGATCTTCGTCGACTCTATGCGAGAATGCGAGAACGCGCATCACTTCCACATGATCTGCAGAGACGGAGTGATGAGAGTCATCGAATACCTACCCGGGCCGCCCGACCAGGTTACTCAAACAAACATCTTCGATGCAAAGCCCATGTCGCCGGAACTGATCAAGTCATGGTTAGACAGAGGTCCGTGGAGTCAAGCAAAAGAGGATAGGTTTCGCGGGGTTGATGGTAGAACGGTTCCACAGGAGTAAGTCGCGCCCAGCATTGTATGCTTATTGAGTAGACGAAGTCTTAGCTGACATGATGCTGCAATCGTAGGCAGTGGATGAGTCCTCCTGCAGGAGTGATACCAACCTTCGGCACCAAGAACGAGCGCGACGAAAGTATGAGAAAGAACCGCGAGGAAAGGGCGGAGTTGGAACGCAAAGTCGCGAGTGGCGAGGTCGAGCAGGAGCCAACGATAGCCTGTATGGCCATCCAGAGCAACTACGACCTGAGCCCTCGTTAGAACGTGGCCAAGATTGCCTGCGGGGCGTACATCCTGTTGGTGCGCGGGTCTGGTTTACTGGCTTCGGATCTGGGGGTAATATGAGCCACGAAGTTAAGATGTTAGTATTTGGTAGTCTGCTTGGAAAGCTGAGTATACGTAAAAATGACTGTCGTTGCCGAATAAGGATGCTGATCGTGTTGAAGCCATCTGCAAGTGACACAAGTTTATATTATGCGGCCATACAGGAGACTGGGAAGCATCACGGGGCGACGCGAGTCCATCCTTCTGGAAGGCTTGTGACTGAAGGACGGCTGGGACGACGTGCGCATTGGATGGTAATTTGGTAGCGGCCGTGCACGGGTGGCGATGCGGTCCGCAACATGGGTGCGTGTTGGTTACAACAGGTAATCATCCGCCACTGAAACTTCGCGAGTACTCAGGTTTCTTTGAAGACAGGATTAATCGCGGCGAGTTGGAAGAAGGTTGGATCCGCGAACAGGCAACGCCGCTCCGAATGCGGTAGCCCATTCGTGACGTTGCAGCAAACTTCGCGTCACACGGGAACCCGGGATCATTCGCGAAGGATTCAAGTACAACTAACCCCTCAGATTTACGCCCTGCAGATAACATCAAGACCCCGGCCTACAAACGCCGGAGATCGTCCTCCTCACTCCCGCGAAAGCCCCACCATACCAAAACTTTCTTCCCACAACCTCTCCTCACCCTCCTCATCATACGCCCACGGCGCATACCCCTCATTAGCACTCTCATACATCCCCTCCTTCCTCGCCTCCTCCTCTCTCGTCCCCATCTCCGCCAGACTAGCCAAATACCTCCCACCCTTATCCTTCCACTCCCTACCCACCGCAGCATAAACCTGCGTCGCAGCCCCCTGCTCCGCACTCTTGAACGTCCGCAGTATCTCCGGGTCACCAAACATCGCCTGTTTGGTCTCTTCGGAGACATGCACCCCGAGACCAGATCCCTCGATGATACCGCCTGGATGCACCGATGTAGCGTGTAAATGGCGGGATGAGTAGTGGCGCTCGATGGAGTTTGCGAACCAGATGTTTGCTGTTTTGGCTTGGCCGTAGGCGTTCCATGGTTCGTAGGGCGTCTTAGAGTAGTTGGGGTCGGAGAGGTGCACGGTGGACCAGATGTGCGCCATGCTGGAGAGGCTGACGTAGCGGCTGGGGTACTCGGGGGTTGCGGATGAGAGGAGGGCGTCTTTTAGGAGGTGGAATAGGAGGAAGTGACCGAGGTGGTTGGTTCCGAATTGGGTTTCGTAGCCGTCTTTGGTTTTGCCGTAGGGTGTGGCCATCACGCCTGCGTTGCCGATGATGGCGTTGAGCTTTCCGCCGGTCTTTGCGAGAATCTCTTTGGCGGCCTTGCGGATGCTGTCGAAGCTGTCCAGTTCCATCTCTATCAGGCCAATTTTCCCACCTCCATCGTGTTTCTCTGCGAGGATCTTGTCGACTACAGCTTGGCCTTTTGGTATGTTGCGCACGGTTCCGATAACGTGGGCGCCGGTAGTGTGCAGCGAGCGGAGAGTCTCGATGCCTAGGCCGGAAGACACTCCTGTGATGAGGAAAACTTTGTCGGTCAATTTGCCAGTCAGACCCTCGTCGCGAATGACTTGGAGAGCTGTAGGACGAGCGTCGCCTGCGCCACGAAGATTCGCGATCTTGTGAAGCTCGGCGTATTGGGCCATTGTTGGAATGATGGTTGTTTGGGGAAGGGGACCGGATTTGATAAGGTGATTTTCGGCTTAGTCGAAGGCAACGGATGTTGATGAAATAAGTCTTTGATGATTAGCTGTTGATTTGGACGTTGTCGAAAGCCCTCCTTTGCTATATAAATACTACGGTTTGTGGAAGGCATCTGGTAACACATGTTAGCATCTGCTTTTCTTGGTTTATCTCCACTTTCATCTTTTAACTCCATCGCATAATGGCCCGAATGCGTCTTGCCACATGGACAGATTTTGGTCCGCCTCCGGACGGCGAGAATGATGGTGAACTATTTGACCCCGTAGATGCAAGATGCGCCCCATTGCCCAGGCTGAAGAACTCAAACGCAGATAGTTGAACTGGTCATCCCACTTAAAGTAGCACGGTGTATACGGCGTTTTCGAGGATTGGATGATCTGTTGCGGTGGCTTGGAAGCGATGACGTCAAAGCGAGCGAATCGCGAGTTGATGCGAGTTTCATCCGAAGCCACACGTGCTGACCGGCATCATCTGGGCACTCATCTCATGCATTCTAATTCGCCGCAAAATACCGAAGATGGGAATTCATGCGATGAGACCTGTTTGTAATCGGGATCAGTAGCCTTATTTGTTCTTCACTCGAAGTTGCTACGCCTCGTGCCCACTGTGTAAGCGTGTCTAGCAGGGTCGCTTCTGGCGCAATACTTGCCTATTTTCATTGTCTTGCATTCACCCCCCAATTACCGCAACTCGATCATCTCTACGCGCTTCCAAAACTCTCCCTCTTGACTGCCAAGAAGGTCAAACTCCAAAGCTGGCGAATGTTACTCTCAGTCGCGGTCAACGAGCCCAGCTGCTCAATCTGATAGCCGTTGTCGTATTTCCAACTCCACACCTCATGGCTGAGCTGGTCGCGATTGGCGTCAATTGTATTCCAAAGGCCGTTGTATGCGGCGAGGACTTTGTCATGGACTGTGGAGTCTGTGCAGAAATCTACGATGCTGAGTTAGCAATCACATGATGGAGAAACGTGAGAATACATCAGGATATCGACTTACCAGGCGCACCCTGCTTATCGCAGCGACCAAGCTGTCGCGAAAGTCCAGCGCCCATCATGGCAAGCTGCCAGCTCCATATTACAGTGCCGTGGTAGTCGTCCGTTGAGAAACCTGCTTCGAAGGTCACATTTCCGGCGTATGCAGGGTTCGCAACGAATAGTCCAATGTCGCTCGATAGACCAACCGGGAAAGGTTGAAGGATGTGATCGGCGGTCTGGCTGATGTATGCCGTCAGCTGGGTTTGGTTCGTGGTGTCGAGGAGGAAGTGGCGGAAGCAGTCATCGCTATTGATGACGGGCACAATGGGTGCACCGACTTCGCCGTCAAGGGCGACGCCATAGTATGTGACATCACTTGTGATCTTGTCGACGTTTGTTGGAAGGGTAAGGTTGGCGTTCGAGACGTAGTCCTCAACAAGGGATTTGGCGTCGGCCTGCGGGACGGTGACTTCGAAGAAGCGTAACGTCTCATCCTCCCAAATCTGGGCGTACTTATCGGCCTCTTCGCACCAGTCCGGATGGTCTGAGAAGAAGCCCGCACGACTCAGACTTGCGATAGCCCGAAGTCCTGCAGGTACAAGCGCGGTATTGACATTGTACGGGATGCGACCTCCTCCAAGGCCATTACTAGAGTCGCGCCACTCGCCGACTATCTCGCCTTCGTTGAGGTGGATAAGATTCTCTTTTACTTGAGTTTGCGCAAATGGTGCGGCAATGCGCATGATCTTTTCGGCGGTGAACTGGGCCAGCTCAGAATACGCCAGTCCGTCGTTCTCGACTAGGAATGTTGCGGTCTTGCTGAAGAAAGCGTCCGAACGATTCTTTCCGGCATCTGTATCTACGAAGTAGCTGTTCATGGAAATTGGAAGCATGAAGTCTGTGTCGATCATCTTATAGTCACAGCCAGGTGCGCTGGAGTTGATTCCCTTCTTCCTGTTGAGCCACGTCGCGTAGTCGCCGAGGACCTCCTCATGACACACGGTACCATCAGTGCGGTTGACTCGCTCAAGAACAGCTCCGATGACGGCTTCGATGGCCGCTTCGCTAAGAACGGGTTGCATCAACAGCAGCGAGAGCATACTGTCTCGACCGAAGTAGGTGAGGAAGCGCCATGTGCCAGCCAGTAGCTTGTTCGAGTATGAGAGGAATGACAAAGAGGTGGTTTGGTCCGGGTTCTCTGCAATCAAGCCGGAAGACGCCTCGTTGAGAACTTCTTGAGGACTGAGCTGCTCCAGTTGCGGATAGTTGTGAGAAGCTTCAAAGCGGTAGCTACCTTCGCCGAATGTCAAAGTCCAATTTGCCTCGCGATTCAGCATAATGGCTTGAGCGCCATTCAGCGGCGAGAACGTCAGCGTCGTGGTAGTCACACCGTCAAACCAGGTACGGTTGATGGAGGCGCTCCCGTCTTCGTTGATCGCAAAACCGAAATTGTTCTGGAAGTCTTGACTAACGCCTGAGCCTTCGGTCTGGTCGCGAATAGCCCGTATACTGCCAAGAATAGGTTGCGTCAATCTAGCAGTAGTGTTGAATTTGATCGATGCTGACACTCCAACACGATCCGAAGCATTCAGTGGCTGCACTGTTTCTCCGTTTCCGGACTCCTCCACACTGATGTTCAGACTGCCTTGACCGCTCTCAGGCGCGAAATACGCCATAGCGCCGCTGTTACCAGCAGGCCATGCCACGATAAGTCGAGGCTTGACAACACTGGTGTTGCTATCAGGCCTGGGACTTGTAACGATGACATGGGCGCTAGTGTGACAATCAGAATAGAGGTAGTTCTTCTGAGGTCCGTCCTCTAGATAGAGTCTTGAGGCTGCTTCTTCGCATGGCGATGAGAGATCATCAGTCGGCGGAGGTGAATACGTCGTGGAACTTTGAGGGTAAGCCAGGACTGTAGCTACCAGGGCCGCTGACCCCAATACCGTAATCGCGACCATAGCAACTCTGCATGAGTTAATTGATAGATCTCGCATGGATGTAAACTTCACGGATTAGGTTCCTTCACTTACTTGATGATCCACAAGAGTGTCCAATGACTTTGCGTGTGATTCGTTGCTTTTACGCGCGCGGTATGTGACTGGAACAATTCGCAGTTCAATCGCAGTGCAATCGCAGTGATTGAAGTTACAAGAAAGACCTGTTATTACGGATGAATCACAGTCGTCGGCCCGTGCTTCCAATCGATAGCTTGTCACGATTACTTCTTTTCTGGTCTCTGGTCGCCTTATGTACGCCCTGTTCCTCCGGCCCAATACGCCCTCTTAACAACGGCTGGCCAGGCACAGTCAAGAAACACGCGCTAGACGTCATGGCTCGAGCTGTTAGTACTCCAACCTTCAACGGCCCTGTTTGGAGCATGCGGGGTCTTGATGGTCGCTCCGTCGTCTTGTTTGTGGGGTAGAGGAGCGGCGGTTCGTTGGCCTTTCTCCCGATGATCTCGCTTGGCGGGCGCTAGGGCGCATCTGGGTGCGATCGACGCCAGGGTCCACAGCTGGGCAGTCATCGCCTCGTGCGTCATTTGACATCCGTGGACCTTTCGTCCCGCATCTCACACACTTGCAATACTCACAAAAGGCAACGCCTGCATACGAGCAACACTTATGATATGCGCCGTACCTTGCGACTCCAACACATGAGCCATTCTCGCATTCTCACAACTATCGCCAAAAGCGACACACCCTTGGGCTATCGCTACCATGTGCACCCGGACATCCGATCAACGTAACCATCGTCAGCATGTACCTGCTAGACGGCACCTTCTCGGATCGTACGCAGATGAAAGGGCCTTCTTAGCACATTAACCCACGGCAGAAGACGAAGGGAAGCCAGGTACCGACGCGTTCACGACTGAACGCTAAGAGCCCCAACACAAGCCAAGGGTACAGCAACCGAGGCCGTTCACGCGGCTCCTGGCGGATAACTGACCATGTCGGGATGCCTCCTGTAGTACTCGCGACGTAATCTTGGTAGAGGCGTCAGGTCTAGAGTAAGTTCCTCAAAGCTACCGAAGAGCTTGGCCAATCACGGGTGCATATCGATATGAGGTACAACATCACGAAATCTGGGGTAATTACCAGGTGTGTATGGGTAAACGACGATTACGAAGGGGATCACAGGCCCAATATCCCGGTCGGTGGTCGACCACTACAAGATGGCCATAATGTGCTCATCGCGTGCCGTTCTGAGGCGGTCTGAAGTCTGGCATCAGCCCGTTCCATCGCGCAGAGATGCATCTCTCCATCATCGCAATACCAGCCTTCCTCACCACCGCCGTCCAAGCCCACGGCCGAATAACCCAAATCACAACATCGAGCGGAGCAGTCTACGCAGGCTGGGATCCCGCGTCTTCGGACAATCTCATACCGCCGCATCCACTTGCGGCATGGTCCGCGTCAAATCTCGGCAACATCTACATCCCGCCTGAGCAGTTCAACACCTCCAACATCGCTTGCCACTACAACGCCATCCCAGGCGCTCTCCACATCAACACCACAGCCGGCGACGAGCTAAAGCTGCAATGGAACGAATGGCCCGTATCGCACGTTGGGCCCGTTATGACGTATCTGGCGGACTGTGAGGGCAGCTGCACGGGCAGAAAAAGTGAGGATCTGGCTTGGGTCAAGATTGACGAACTGGGATGGTTGAATAGTACGGGCTGGGATACATTGGACCTTGGTGGGACGTGGGCCGCGGATGTGCTTATTGCGAATGAGTATTCTTGGGTGGTACAAATACCGGAAAGACTCTCGGAAGGATACTATGTGCTGCGGCATGAGATTATCGCGCTGCATGTTGCGGAGAAACTGGATGGCGCGCAGGCGTATCCGCAGTGTGTGAATCTACGCGTTGTGGGGAGAAAAGATGAGGAGGGGAAGAAGCTGGCTGGTGGTATTTTGGGCAAAGATTTGTACGGTATGACAGATGAAGGCATACTAGTGGATGTGCATCGGAAGATCGATGGGTACAAGATCCCGGGGCCGAAGCTTTGGGAAGATGCAACGCCTATGCGACAGCCTACTCAATGATGCCGCATTCTGTTCATACTGAGCGAGCTACCTCTCCGCTCACCCAAATGAGTGCCTGGCTCATCCGAAAGATCAGATGACGACCTCCTGATATCTCCTACCAGCGTTATCTCCATCTTCCTGCCTAGTCAATCACATCAAAGGCGTGAGGCCCTGCAGTCTACTCCCCTCCCTCACCAAAGCTTCTCCATACCACCAACCCAACATATCCTCCTAGCTACCCCCCACCTCCACCCCATCACCCCCATCTCCCTCCACGTCCCCATCCGCCTAATCCACCTCAACAAGAAAGTCCTCATCCCTAGCCACCGCAGGCACCTCGCAAACCTCAAGCGCATCCCTGAACATCCTTCCCGCCCACGTATCCTCCTGGTACCTCATCTTCACACTCTCAACCCACGCCAAACTTCCAGGTGTGACCAAATACGGATTAGCACCAGCTTCAAGTAAGACCAGACAAGCGATGCTGCGGTCATAACGCATCGCTGCTCGAAGAGGCCGCTCGAGACCGGCTAGATACACGGGACCGTTGGGATCGGCGCCTAGGTTCAACAGCGCCTTGATGAAGGTGCCAGCGGCTGGTGTTGTGCATGCGTTGACGGCGGTGAGGAGGGCGTATGTGGAGCCTTGGACTTGGTTGATGGCTAGGGTGGTCTGACCGATCTGAGGACCGAAGAGTAGATGGAGGAGTTCTGGCTTTGAAAGACGACACGCTGTTTCGAAAGCGGCGTAGATGGTTGACGGACCGGTTTGCGAAGGCAAAGCAAGAAGAAGCTTGAGGATTTCTTCGTTGCTGGTCTGGATGGCTTTGTTCAGCCAGGCTTTCATGCAGGCTTCGGTTGCGGAACTGAATGCGGTGATGTACTTTGCCAGGAGATAGTTGGTCTTAAGGTGATCTTCCAGTTCGATGGTAGTGCAGATGGCTTGGCGGAAGGATATATGCTCGCTGTATTGGTATCCAGCGATGTCACGGTTCTGATTGGTGACTGCCTGCTTCACGATCGACTTGGTGACAACATCCTGTCTCGCATACACCGCGGCGTCAAGTGGGTAACCAAAAGCCAGTGACTGCGACCACAGCAGACACTTATTAGCGCCGACGAAGTGCTTCAACGCGTCGAGCTTTCCGGTTGCGGCGGCTGCAGCAATCAGCGCAGCATCAGTGATCCGGATGGTGTTCGGCATGTAGTATCCCAATTTGTTGAAGTCAGTAGTAACGCATCTGAACGCGTCGCTGTGGTTGCGAACGAATAGCTCACACAGCGCTCTCCTGAGTGCAGCCTCTTCAGTGTCGTTGGCGATCCATCGGCTCATCGCACGCAGAATAGCGCGGATAAAGTCCGTCACATGGCTGCGTGCGAAGCCGTTGAGCTTCTTGCTTCGCACGAAGAGGAAGTCGGCGAGGTACTCCTTGAGGATCTTGCGACCGGCAGGCGTCTTGAGGTAGGCGTGAAGCGCTGGGTTGGCGAGGATGTCGTACGTGATGTAATCGCGAAACGAGGCTAATGTCGCAGTCTGTCAGTTTTGGGTGTCACGTGTGCGGGTGTTGTCTTGTTGGGTACTTACTGCAGGTTCCTCGAGCCAACCACGCTGCTGGTATACCATGCTTTCTGGCTAGTGTGTTGAAGACGCGCTGGACGATCTCTGTCGGTAGGTCGAGTAAATCAACCATGTTTGTAACGTTCTCTGCGGCTGGGATGTCGAATTCGAGGTAGAGGTAGAAGTGATGTGCGTCGGGTCCGGACAGATATTTTATATTTGTGTGCTGGCCTGGGCGCGTCGGATAAGAGACACTGAAAGTGGAGTTGGACTAGAAATTGTCACTCATTGCGCAATATTTCATCCTGCATTGCGCAATAAGTCATCCTCCATTGCGCAATGTTTTTCCCGGACGGGCTGGTGAGATGACTAGTAGATCGCAAACGCCCGGCACAGTGACTGTTCATTCTGAATACTCACTTGAACTCGGCATCTCTCATTCGTAAGAGTTTTGGGATATATTCGATTGAACTTTACTGGACATATCCTGCCATTACTACCGTGTCTCTCACATTCAGAGCGTGTTCTGGTCCACACTAAGATGAGATGAGACGAAAGGCCCCTGAGGACTTTTCCAGCCCGTGTTGGCCCCTTGGAGACCTCTTTCCGTACTTGACGTGCCTGGAGAACTTACGGTTGGTCACAGTAAGATGAGGCAAAGCGAGAGTCATTGAAAGAATAGAATGCGCCTTTGACTCGGACTGCGGTCTCGTCCTTCGGGCAGGTCATTGACATGGTACTTTGGTATACGGTATGATTGCGGTAGCTTTGATGTAGCGAAAGTCACCGATGAACAGTAATTCGGAATGTAGAATGAGGTCTCAAATCAGGGGCTAGAGGAAAGAACGAGTTGCAATGGGTGCGCACGAAGAGGTTTCGGGACTGAAGTTTATAGTTTGATGAATTGGTAATGGCCATCCGATCTGAGACTTGAGCTTGAAGAAAACAATTCTACCATAAACAAAGACCCTACTTGGCCCTGTACTCCATTATTCTCATGCGTTCACGGACGTCTTCGAAACATCTCCCAATCATAAGCTCGAGTATCCTCAGCCCTCACTGATGAAGACCCGGGATCTCGCCTACGTGACACTCATGCTCTGTTCTCAATCGTTTCTCGGGGGACCTGGGCAGTGACGTGGTGGAAGGAGGCCTCCCAGCCACAGGAGTGAAGGTGCGAGCTGAGGTTTGTAGTCGTGGCGCCAATCCGTGCACCGGTCAAGCACGGACGTTGGGGCCGACGTTGCCCCTACGCGCCGCTCTTCGCGATCCAAGGCTGGCGTGTAGCTGGCAACCTCCTCGGCAGCCCCCTCGCCGCGCTACCACAACCTACGACTGCTGGGGACCGCCCATGGCAGCGTCCCATTGAGCGATACGCTGTTGTTGTACCAGGTTGAGATGCATCACAATGGCGCCGCGCTCCTCCTTGAACTGGTCATCGCTGTCGTTCCACAACTGGCCGATGGATTCGATATCAGCGCCATATGAACAGAGCGCGGCAACGATCTCGAGGCTATTACCCTGGACGGCGAGCCAGACAGGAAGATCGCAAGGCCGACAAGTCGGTACCCCATCCGCGTGTGCTCCGTGGTGGAGGAGTGCCTTGACCGGATAAGGATGGCCCACACCCACGGCAACGGAAAGAAGACACCGGAAAGCGACCTTCTTCTCGAGGTATCCTTGGTTGAGATTCATGGAACGTTGCCTGAGGAAACCATCGACCACGGGCTTGCTGTTGGTCTTACAGATGAGCTTGAAGTTTGCGAAACGCTCGCGGAGGCCGGGCTCAGTGCGAAGGTGCAGCAGCGTTACGGAGACGCGGTCGTCCGGATGTTTGGCCGCCATAGCAATCCAACTATTAAGCAAGAGCTTTGGGACCGCGGGGAGGTATCGGTGATATACGTGGAGGAGCCGCATGGACATGTCTCCATTACCATGACGCAGGGTTGCAGCGATGGCGCCCCTAAAGGCTGCCTCATACTGCTCCAAGGGATGGGTACGGTAGTTCGTCGCGAAGTAAGCCAAGAGGTATTCGACGACGTTGCGGTGACCACCACCTGCGGCTGCAGCGAGCGCAGACCCAAAGGTGTATGAGACGTCCCAGAGCCGATCGGAGCCGTACCAGTTGACAGTAGATATGAGGGCATCGAGGTTACCAACTGCCGCTATAACAGCAAGCTTAACTCCCGCGCCGTTGTCGGTGAAGTATGGCAACACACGTTGAAATGTCTTGCTCGACTTCCTGTAACTCGCCATCTCCCAAGCAGACTTGCACGCGATATGCAACTGCTTGCTGAGCATGAGCGCGGTCGCATACTCTTCTCCCGCGCTCACTACGTCAGTACTAATGAGCCAGCCTGCCCATAACTTGATGTACTTGGGAAGGGTGTCGCGCTCGCCGGTGAGTACACGCCCGTCCTCGCATGCCCGATTAGCGAGATGGGGTACGCGGACGCTCTTGAGTATGGCGCGGGTAGCGTTGGTCAGGGGGACAAAGGCCTCGATTGGCAGTTGTGCAATGCGGGCGTCGATGGCGGCCTTCCAGGTCCCTGGAGAAGCGTTGTCAGTTTGGCCGCTTATATCATCCTTGTCTCTGCGTCGCCTGGGGACTGGAGGAGACTCTGGGCGATATGCATACATGCCCCGCCAGATGAGCACTTACTGCTGACTCCGCGAAGCAGACTCGCCTCTGCGAACCCGTAGGTGTACATGAAGTCGCTGATGGTGTTGTTGACCAACTCCGGGGGGAAATAAAGGTCCGACATAATGTACCGTCGTCGATGTCGCTCTGAAGCACCGTCTACTTTCGATGAGAAGAAAAGAGGAGGAAGTCGCGTGCGATCAGTGGCCTCAGTCCAAAATGTGGTGGGGTGCCCTCTCGCTTCAGGGAAAGCGTCCGACCGCAACACGTCCAGTTATTCACTGATACCTCCTCTATCTACGAGACACTCGACCCACAGCGATGGCTCGGACCACCTTGTAACGCATTACTGATAGAATTACGAGGCTAGAGGGCGTCGGCGGTAATTTCAGGTCATATACGGGAAGCCTAGCCTCTACTGGCTGAACAGGACGCCCGTGATGCGTCACGCCAAATGCCCGCGATGCAGTGTATTGCGTCGACACGTTAAATGGAAGCTCCTTTTGAAGAGACAGAAGGTGATTTGGAGCCGTATAGATGGGCCTTGAAGCCCGCGGAGAAGAACGGGGAAGAGATGAGATGACGACTATGCAGTGACTTTTGACGACGCTGCGCTCTGGAGAGAAGGCACCACGAGAGCGTCGCAGTCAAACATTTTGCAGGCAAGCTGTATGAAAGAAGATCAAAGTCATGTCGAGCCGTAGATATGGGTCGCAAAATCCGAAGAGTAGAGAAAATATGAAGTGACGGGTGTGCAGTGAATTATGATGACGTTGCGCCCTGAAGAGACGGCACCGGAACTAGAACAGAGAACCTGTGAGACTAGGGCACCATTTCGGTGTTCAATGTAGTGGGCGAGAGAACAAATCGAGAGGTAAGACTGAATAGCTGAGCCGTGGATGCCGGAGTCGAGGGACACGGCTTGAGTGTGTGTATGGCGGCAGTATGCGCATATCTGAGAAGAAAATGCTAACAGACTACAAATATTGAGATACTGCGATGCGCGGTTAGCTTGAGCAAAGAAAGCATATGAGACCAAATAGCTGCTATAGTGAGCTGTGCATGCTGGAGTCGAGATCTTAAGACGCACGATCTGCATTTGCACGCAAACTGTTCGACAGAACGACAGCAACTGGATTTCGAATGTTTCTGAAAATGGTCGCAACATCCGCATATATCTAACACTTTGGCGACTCCTGGAAATAGCAGCCGGTCCTATGCGCAAACCGAACAAGATGCCGTAATGCTGAGCATGTAGGGCGGATGGGTCGAGCCGGCATCCAGGTCGCGATGCGTAACGGCATTGCAGATATAGAATTGCATTACCAATAGCTGCTTCGATGGCGCGTCATTGTGGTCATCCGTTGTTGGATGAGATGGCGGTTGTAACGTCGGTAGGATGTTGTTGATAGAAGACATGGAGTTTCGCAAACCTCACGACGTCAGGCTCTAGTGACGCACGTGGCGCTAGCGTGCCGCAGCTGCAGCAACGACGTCAACCAAGGCATGGACCCTGGATCTCGCTGCAGCGTCGCTCTTTTGCTTTTGGCATTCAACGCGTCTCACTCCCATAATCAATAAATCAATAAACCCAAAGACATCACGCGCATACACTCAGCTTGGGCCAGCAAAACGACGCTATTGCCGCGAATACAGTGCACGCGACCGCGCCAGGCATCGGCCTAACACAAGACGGCCGCCTGCCGCCGAATCACCCCAACACCAGCTTTACTTCCTATAACTTCTATCGCATAGATCGCAAGCATGGCGCCTCTCAAGATCTCGATACCGACGACCCAAGAACAAACACCCGAAAACGGCAAAGCCTACACCTCCTACACCATCAAAATCGAACACCCCTTCCCACGCGCCGCAACCACCCTCCAAAAGCGCTACTCCGACTTCTCCGCCCTCGACTCAACGCTCCGCTCAGAAGTCAGCGCCGCACCACCAGCGCCCCTCCCCCCAAAATCCTGGCTCGGCGGCTTCCTAGGCCTAGGCACCACGACATCCACGCCCGAAGCCATCGAGAAGCGGCGAGTCGGGCTAGAGGCCTACCTCCGCGCGATAGAAAGCGCAGAAGACGGGCGGTGGCGCGTCTCCAAAGCCTACAAGCAGTTTCTCGAACTAGGAGAGAAGGATGGCGCGAACGGGAAGAAAGCGGCTGGTTTCCCCGGCAGCCAATTCGGCAAGGATAGAGTGAGGGATAGTTCGGATTGGCTGGACAAGCACTCGGAGCTTAAATCCAACTTGCAAGATGCAAGGAGGTGGTTGACGAAACGCGAACAAGCTACCGCTGCAACGGCCCAACACGAAGCCGCGGCCAACGCGAAGAAAAGCCTCGTTAGAGCCGGTACTCTCATTTCCGCCCTCGAAGAAGGCCTAAGCCGTCTCGGCGGCTCCAACAGCAAAACCTCCGACGACTGGTCCGCCGAGAAATTAGGCGACGGCGAGATCCGACGAAGAAAAGACATGATAAGCGGTCTGCGCAA